TTACATTCTTTTTATAAATTGATTATAAGTTTTTATAAATTGTGTAAGTTTAGTTAGCATGATCATGAAATAAAATTTCTCAATGTGTATAGTATAGGACCAAATCCTTGACCTATGCTGACTCTTCTCAAATAGCACCATATGGAAATTCCTGCCTGAGGAGTTGGATAGGCATTGGGAGGGTGTTGCCCTGGTGGGGTTCCATTTCTCTGATCTGTGCACTTTTCCACTTTGGCTCAGCCACATTGAATTTACTTCTGTGACCTGAATATGTTTTGCTCTTTTGCCTCCTCAGTACTTTTGCTCCCACTCTTTGCTCTACTGTTCTTTCTACTTGCAACATTTTTTGTACTTCCCATTTCATCTTTCAGTGCTCAAATCTGTCTTACAGAATCCTGTCTATGTCAAGTCAAGCTCTATGAATCTTCCCTATTTATGGCAGCTGGCAGTCATTCATAGAAGCCATAGACTTTAAAGCTCTGAAGGCCTTAGAGAGTATTTAAGTCATATCCTCCTCCTCTAAAGTTGAGGTCCTGTCCTTTTTGGGCAATATCTTGCCTAAGATCATGTAATTAGTTGTAGAACGAGGATGAGGATTGAGGGCACAGTTCAGATGAGCAAACATATATCGGACCACCACCTACCTACGTGCTCAGAAACACGAGATACTCTGTGGCCAGTCTCAGTTCAGTCTTTTACTCTTAAGTTGTGATACAGTAGCACTGTGAGGTGCTCTTCTAGTATATTTTGTGTTCATTTTGTTTTTCCTATTAGAATATAATCTCAAAGAACAAAGACCGAGTTTTATTCATCTTTACATTCCAAGGGGAAGAATGAGACTAGGGGTCATAAGACTTCCGTTCTAGTCCTGGCCTTTCCACTTGGTAGCAAGTTATATAAATTTAACCTTTCACATCCTCACTTAACCTGACTGTAAATGGGATTAGTAATGTTAGTTCTGCGTATGTCATGAGATTATTGTGAGTAAAAAAATAAAAGAATAAATGTAAAAGTACTTTGAAAACTATATAGTACAAGTACAATGTAAGTTTTATATGTAATAATGTTCTTTGTATTACTTGATTTTTTTTTTCAGAAGCTATAAAAATAACACCTTGAAACACAATTCAGTGTATGAAGCTATGGTTCCCTTCTTTTCTCCATGTTTGCTATTCGTTTTGTCTACAGCATGGATCCTCCAGTCACCTTCAGATATTTTAGAGTTACATCCTAGAGTATTCTATTTTATGGTTGGGACAGCCTTTGCAAACATCACAGTAAGATTTCTTTCTTTTAAAAATCATAGTATTTATAAGGAATATTTGACAAAACTTGATAATTTGAGAAACCTTACATAGTATTAGAATAAGCAGAATTTAACTTAAAGATTTTACATCAGAAATTTGAAGGAGTAATTAATAACCTCAAAGACAGAATATGCTGAAAATTATTTTATTTTTCCCTTGAAACCAGTAGGATTTGGAGACAGCTGTAGTAGTGTTTTGGATCCATGGCATAATTTAAATTTTTTGTTTTGATTGCCTGCCAAAGAATTCGTGGAGTAATTCCCTTCGACTCTGAATATTGTTAATAGTGTGGTTGCAGATATAATAATTAGTTTAGGGAGCTTGAAAGGGGGTTTTGTGAGAGAGAAAACACATACACAGACACCCCCCCAACATGTTTTTTAATCAACTGATTTTTTTAATATATATTTTTATTAAAGTATAGCCAGTTTACACCGTGTCAGTTTCTGGTGTACAGCACACTACTTCAGTCATATAGGAACATACATATGTTCGTTTTCATATTCTTTTTCACCATAAGTTACTACAAGATATTGAATATAGTTCCCTGTGCTATAATCAACTGACTTTTAAATTAAGAACATACAGTTTAAAACTTTGTAATAAATATTATATGTTTAAAAAAATCCCTTTCTCTGTTATAGTCCAGCAAGAGAGCAGATAGGGGTGGGGGAAAGGTAAGGAGTTGTTGAGAAAAGATCCTGAGGTCCTGGCAGCTGAGAACATGTGCTGTAGCTCAGGCCAGGTTCTTAATAAGTTTTAATTTTTTAACGTAGCCACTGAATTCATGTTTCTATGTCTGTAACATGCGTTTACTATCTCAAGTCATACTAATTTTATAGGGTTTAAAGATCTGAAAATATTAATGCATTGTATGAAAAGTATCTCTGAAAGAATAAAACCAGATTTGAGTAAGGTGTTGAAGTAAAGAGAGCCAAAGAGGTTTTGAGATGTTAATATGATAATGCGACTTCATCACCATGAAGAAATTTAGTTGTGTGGGGTTGCAGGAGGCTCTTTTCAAAAAATTGTTGTCAGATATCATAGAGTCTTAAAACTGGGAGAAATATCTTTTATCCAAACTGTCACCCAGTATAAGAATGCCTTCTAAAGCATCCTGAATAAGTTATCTTCCAGCCTCTTCTGACACACAGCCTGGGGGTCCATGCGTTTGGAGGTGGGGCCACAGGTCCAGGCAGGCTCCTGGGCAGTTGAGAATTACTGAACTTAATAATATAATGTAAATATCTTAGCTCAAGTACTTGAATGCTTTTTTTAAATGTTGGAACGACTAGTTTTGGAAGTGCTTTGCTAATTAAATTTTCTCTCTCTCTTCCTTTCTTTTCTTTTTTCAAAATAACTTCAAGTGTCAGCTGATTGTTTGTCAAATGAGCAGTACCCGGTGCCCAACTTTCAATTGGTTGCTGGTTCCTCTCTTCTTGGTTGTCCTGGTGGTAAATTTAGGAGTAGCCTCTTACATTGAGAGCATTCTCCTGTATACATTGACAGCTGCTTTCACTCTGGCCCACATCCATTATGGAGTACGAGTGGTGAGTAATCTACAGCAACATTGGTTCCCTTTGATTCTTATAAATAGTGAAATGAAGGTGAGGGAAATTTTCAAAAGAAACTTGCTTATTATAGTAGCTGGAAGGATTTGGGGATATTCTCTAAATATTGGATAATTTCCAGGTACATAATTTCAGATATTGTTTCTCTAACGAATATGTTCCAGTAACTACAAATAATTTAAAAGCTGGATAATGATTGTGAGGAATTCAGTTCTTGTTTTTAAGTGAGAAGAAATGTAAACCCTTTTCTTGGTGAATAGAATTATAAACTCTTGTGCTGTTAATTACTTACATGGGACAAAATCCCATTTGTTGATTATTTTTCTATACTTGCTTCTTTAGCTTCAGGGGCATTTTTATAAGGGGAAATATAGAAGACAGTAGATTTAAGTATTTTGCAAACTTCAATGTTCTCTTCTAAAGTAAGAGACTGGTTTCAGGACAAGTTGGGTAGGCTAGATATAATAAAACGAAAATCAGAACTGTGCAGTTTATTTTCTTTTCCCTCACACTTTAACATTCTTTTCTAATTATTCTACATATCTTAGCATTGTCTCATAATTATGATTTCTAATTGCTGTACAGTATTCCATCAAGGAGATTACTTAATAATTATCAGTGTACTTAGCCATGACTCAGTTATTTTTAATCATTTAATCATTTATTCCAGATTTTCACTATTATAAATAAAGTTGGGATGAACAATCTGGAATAATATTTTTTTCCCTCTTCATTTGCTTTTATTTTCTGAGGATAATTTCATAGCAATCATGTAAAATGATACTCACATTTCTGTGGCTTTTAAAATAGTTCTGTTGAGTATGTTTATTTTGAAAGGAACCCTGCTATGAGGCAGTTTGAGAGATGAAATGTCTTTCCTTCTGTATTGTCATACATATGTTTAAAACAGGGACACCTGTCACGCTTGATAACAACTTTTTGTACCTTGCATGTGTTGCTAAACTTAGGTTTCTTCCTTTAGTGTTTCTCCCCAAAGTAGCCCACGATTGTTAAAACAAAATAGATGAAAATAACCATGATAAGTCTGTGAATTATGACATGAAGACATAATCATTTATGTTCTTATTTGTGCAAATTTAACACATGCTTTATACCAACACTCTTAGGCCTTTATTCTGATATTTTATTAGCCATTCATGAAGTAGAACATAGTTCTCAGTGTCTTTCATAATTGTTTTACCTTTTTATAATCCTTCAGAAGTATATTATTAGAAAACCATACACATGCCAGACCAAACCAAAACACATTTTTATGTCAAATTACAAAGGCAGTATATCTTTATTGTTAAAAATCTGGAAAATAAATACAAGCTAACTGAAAAAAATTCCAGGAGCATCTTTTCTATGTCTTTGTGCTCTCTTACCAGTTCTATAACTTCTGAACTGAAGGTAAAATTTGCCAAGCTGCACACAACATTCACTTGAACTATTGAAATATAAACATTAAGTATAAGAATAGAAATCAGAGCACAGGGAACTATACTCAGTTTTTTGTAATGAGCTGTTTGTAATGGAAAAGAATCTGAAAAAAAATATATGTGTATGTATGTATAACTGAATCGCTTTGCTGTAGACATGAAACTAACATTTTGAATCAACTACACTTCAATTAAAAAAAATAGAAATAAGTATTAAATAAACCTTATTTGCTAGTTGGCACATAAACCATGCTCTTGCCTACCCACTAGGGATACCCTAACTAATATGACCTAAACCTTTCAAAATTTACAGATGTAGTTTTTATACTGTTTCATCAGGGTTAGAAATGATTACCTAGAAACGCAAAAAACGCTGAACATTGACTCTAACTATATATGTAAGTATTTGACCTGCTGGGTAGTATAAGTCAGCTAATTGTATAATTTTTCAGTGGATTTGGATGTAACTCTGTGTGACCTGCAGGGCTCTGGGAAGATTAGATTTCGGAGTTGGGTAGACCCAGGCTTAAGTCCTAACTCTCCCAGGGTAGTTCTAGTACTCATTTAGCCATCTAACTGCACAGCTATCCTAGTTCAGGAAAACTTCTTCATTTATGATGGTTTCTACCATGCCAGTAGATTATTGTCTCCAGAGGGTGAATTCTTAATGCTTGGAAAAAAAAAAAATCAGGTGCGTGTTTGTCATTGCCTGGTGTTCTGGTTTCCTGTAGGTAAAGCAACTGAGCAGCCATTTTCAGATTTACCCCTTCTCATTGAGGAAACCAAACTCGGATTGACTAGGAATGGAAGAAAAGAATATTGGCCTGTAATCTACAGAAAGAAGTACTGTAAATAAGATGCCTGTAAATATTTCATCCATCACCATTGAACTAAACTGATCTGCTTAATAGACATGGGAACTCAGTGTGTGTGGTACTTGGACAGCAGGAATGGTATATATGATCTGAACTTGTGGAACTTTAGACCTACTAACTCCCAGCTTACTTTTTTTTTTATAAAACCATGTGATGTTTTGGTTAAACATAATGTACATTAGGTCAGCAAAATGTTCCTAGTGATTTTACCTTCAGGAGTCCATATTTGGTTGTATTTGGTTCATACAGAGTTAAAGATGCTTGGCTTTTATTTTTAAAACCCCCAAATTGGGTTGGGAGCACTAATAACATTCAGAAAACCCCAATATGTTTTCATATTTGGCACTTAGTAGTAGGTCTTTAGCTATGGAAACTATCAATAGCCCAAATCTAACATAAGGGAAAAGATAAGAGCAAGCTACCTTCAGCAAGAGATGCTAAATGATTATGGAACAATACACAGTTGCCAAATACTGGTTTCTCTTTCCCATGGAAATGCCTTTTGTCCTCATGTGCTAAGAGAGCTGATATATATATTTGGATTCTCTAGGATTCTGGCTCAATTTGTTACGGAACAGATCTTGATTAATGGTTTAATCTTCTTTTAAAGAAAAATATCCTATTGAGGCTTAGTAGAGAATGGATTGGAATTGTAGCTCGCTCGTTGGCATGGTTCATTGTTTAAATGTGGCATTTTCCCCCTCAGCTGCAAGTTGCTGAGATTTGGTGCCTGTGAACTATGATCAAATGAATGCATGTGACAGTCCCAGTCTTAAAATAATGACTTGTGAGGAACACAGATAAACTTCCTTATAAGAAAAATTTTCGTAAGAGTTAGGAATCTCAGGAACCTCACTCTGAAATTACTACAGTGAACCTCACTGCGAAATTAGTTTTCTGATATAATATAATTTTCTGATATAATTCCCTTCTCCGTCCCTCTGTTTCTTTCTGTGGGGGAGACTGCTGTGTTTTTTATTTCATAAAGGATAAAGAAGTAGAGAGAAATTCTCTCTTCTCCAACTCGCTCATTTCCCCCACTGAAGAAAATTTTTAATATTTATGCCTTACTGAGTATATACTCCCTTTAATATGACTTGGAGTAATTTTTGAGGTTTATTGACAAACATAAAAATCCCTTTGATTTTGACATGGTTGTTTTATGATTACACCTTTCTGTGAATGTGGATATTTTCTTCTATTTCTTTTTTGGTTTTTGTCTCTGTTTAGTTTGGTGGTGGTGAAATTTACTGGCTGATTTTCTTTTATTTTCCACGGAATGAAGTTTGTGCTTGAATGAAAAGTGTATCTTAAACCCTTTTTTTTGGACAGATTGCACTTGGATAAAATAGGCACCACTGTGTTGATATGTAATTAAATCCATAATCATTATTTATCTATGAATGTGACCATCGTTAAATTTAATTATAGTGTATTCCTTTGTTGAATTTTAGTCTGCTGCTTTGTAAAAATAACTATGTAATGGATATTTCAGTTTTTAAATTTGTAAAGCATAATCACTGTCATTCAAGTTATTAGAAATGAGGTGTCAAAGAGCTAACACATGGTTCTGTACTCATTTTTAAAAACTGTAAAGGTTGAAGTTTATTCAGTGACTTTCTCTGAGACAAAAATGAACACTGAAAATAGGTGAGAAATTGATGCAGGAAAATATGGGTAGTGATTCCATGTTTGTTAATATAATTGCCATCATGAAGGTCAGCAAATGAACTAATTAAGTAAAGGTGACTCTTTTTTGTATACCTTGTTCTGTGTCATTTGTAGAACTGAACTGGATAAAGTGTTAATTTGGGCTGGGAACAAAGCTTTGTTTTAAGGTTCTAAGCTAATCATTTTACTGTTGACCTTGTACCCAAGGAGATTCGTCTGTATTATATAAGAAAAGAATTGATAAATATTTATAAAATGACAAATTTGGACCATAGGTTTTCTTCACCTTGTACAGTATAGTTTAAAAAAAAATACCCTTTCCTTCTGGCATAGGGTCATGTCCTATAATTTTGGGGCTATTTTACCTCAAAGTGTGTTTCTGTTCTCTTTCTGTTGCATCAGGTTTATTTGAAAGTTGTTTTGTGCCTATACTTTATTTCCCAATGGTGGTTAAGAATTATGCTATAGTCAGTTTTATTGGCATCATTAGATGAAAGAAAGATGGCTGTCAACAAGGTGAAAGATGAAAAGTGAGTAATTAACTGTTTCAGAATACTGTGGACTTGTGAATCTTTAGTGTACTGCTGACTCTTTTTCTTGGTTTTATCTGCCATCTTGAAGTGCATCACGAAAGCTCCCATTTGTTATGCAGTGATACAGCAGCTGACGCAGGACTTAATTACAAAGAGCTCTGTGAATTTATGTCATTGCCAATTATCATAACATTTCCAAAGTATAAAAGCTATTTCACCCTTATGCATGACATTTTGGGGTGCATTCACACCCCCCAGCCTTTCTCCCAGCATACTCTGAACTGCCTTTTGGGGAGCAATGGCGTGATTAGTCATACATGCATGTTTTCTGTGCATTTCAGAATAGAGTGCCTTAGCCAGGCCAGAGGTTTGCTTTGTGTTTCTGCTGACCAAAGTTACCTAGACCTGTAAGAAGTTTCTTTTCAGGTCATGGTAGGAAAAATGTCCTTTCATGCTTGTCAGAAAATAATTCCCCTATATTTGAGGGGAGCATGAGATAGAAAAATCTAAAAAATACCTGAATAGAGTATGTTAATGCTGCCTTTTGTGATCCTTTAATAACATTCATGTTCTTAGTATAATGCACAGTTAAAAATTGCCACAATTTAAACCATCATTCCTCCATTAATGTGTAATAGATGTAGTTTATGGGTTTTAGGCTTAAGGTTTAAAGAGTGAATAACTTCCAAATAAAAAACTAAATAGTTTTCCTTACGTTTTAATAATATCATGATCAAATTGCTTTTAATTGTAATATTAAAAAGAAAGTTCAGTGCTGACTATGGTCTACAATGTTACAGTACTATTAACCGACATGACATTTGTTTTAATATAGAGGTATTGGGAAGAGGAGTGTATATCTAGAGTTGCCCAAATTCTAAACAGATACCAAAAGAATATTGATCGTAACCTAATGTCTGGGCACTAGGGGAACATGCAAAGGAAAAAGCAGGCATAGTATCCACTTTAAGGGATTCTATGCCCCTAGTGCCCAGTGATGTTACTGCAGTGCGCAGTTTAAAATTGTCACAATTTAAATCGTCCTTCCTCCACCAGGTTTCCCAAGTGTTCAGTTGAGTTTATTTTGTAGTCAGTCAAAAGGCATTTGGAATGTAGCTTGCTTTCCGAGGCCGACTTTGATTCTCTAACCTACAGAGAATAAAAAGATAATCTGAAAGTATTTGAATCAAAGGCTCCTTTTCCCCCTTTATATTTTAACTGGGCGCCTGTGTTTAAGTCTTCCTCTTCATTCTTCACCTGGGTTTCCCTTTAACTAGTCCCACCTGGGGCGGAGATGCCCACTTGCTTGGTTGCCTCTAGATCTTGCCGCATACAGACCTCCTTGGTTGCCTTTGATCTCGTGCTTAGTCAAGGACTGGGAACACGCCCGAGGGGACAGAGTAAACCTGACGTGCTAGAACTTCTGACTTTGGGTCTTCAAATAAGCCAAAAACGGATACAGAAATCTGGTTGTGTTGATTCCTGTGTTCAGAGTGGCCTTTATCTTGACCTCAGTTCTGGCCTTGCTTGAGCACTCTTGCAGGAAATTTGTGAAGTCCGACTAGAATTTTCTTTGTCTTATCAGGTGTCTTTGTGAGGCAGCATACCCATTCTTGAACACCCTGTGGGTGAGTAATCTTAAGTGAGCTGCCAGTACTAGAACCTTCCAAGAAGAAGTTTAACTAGTATGCTGCATTTGAAGCACTTTGACATGTACATTTTAAGTAACAGTTTTAATGGTAAAACGGTGTTAAATTAATCACTGTGAAACTAGAAAGTGTGATGCCCTGTACATTTCAGGAAGCTTAAGTAAATTTCTGATTTTCCATTATTAATTATGTAACCCATGTGATTTGTATATTTTACTTTTCATCTTTGACAGTGGTACAAATGACTGACATTGGCAGGCTGTTACTTTAGGGTATATGGTAAATCATGATTGTCTAACTTTTCCAGAGAAAGTGGCAATGTGTTTACTTTTTCCTTTGTGTGGAGACATGAGAATTGGATTTATTGGCTAATTTATTTCCAGCGTTTCTACAGTGCAAAATAAATGTAACCTTTTAAACCTGCATGCTAGTAATGCTTTGGTTTTTAATAAATATGCAAGAGGTAATCTAGCTGATTTTTATTTGCTTGTTTTTAAGCAGGGACCTGTTCTTTTTACAGACAGATGTTAAATGAGCTAACATGCAGGATAGCAAAAGAAGTTTTGCCATTTGTAGCCTTTTTCACAGGTGGCCTGAGCGATGGGGCTTATGTTGCATTTGGTCAGAAAAGCCAGGTTTCCAGAATTGGAAAATGGCACATGGACTGATTTTTAGAGTATTTTAATGAGAGCTTGTCTCGAGGAAAGTCTGTTTGGACACAACAGAAGTAGTGTCTGGTCTTCCACAGACCATTCACACAATCTTACTCTTCAGAATTATTCCTAGAAAATCAGACTAAATCAGAGTGGTGTTATTTTTAAAGCCTGTGAATTGGATCATGGCCACAAAGTACCTAATTCTACTTTGAAATTAGAGATAGTATTGAAGACACAACTTGTGTCTAAATGCTGTGGATGCCTCATGGCTCTTAGGCTAAAGTCTTCTCTTGAGCGGTTTCTATGGGTAACAGTTAGAATATGAATTGATTTTGGTTTTTATTAAGACATACACAATTCAGCATGAGCTCTAGATTCTGATATTCTTGACAAGCACTTTTTACTCTCTAAAGGGTAAGTTCTTGACCAGAAACCTGTTTACTTTAGTACTCAATGTTACTAATCAGGTTAAAGAGGAGCCTGTTTTAATTTTGCAAGATCTATGAATGCTGCATTATAAATCTGAACTACTGGTATCATTCAGTATCAGACTCTGAATTGAGTAACTACTTGTGAAGACTGCCCACAATATTAACATTTTTTGTAGGTTATTTTTTTTGTATAGCTTATCCCATTAGAGCAGCCATTCAGGAGACAAAGACCCAGTTGCATGTAATGATTTGCTCTTTCTGGAATGTGCCAAGAAAGCAAAGTTCAGTATTAAACTCCAAATTTCAATTTAAAAATTTGCATTTCCTCTGGGTAAAGGGGATGGCAGTGAATAATTGCTGAGGTATAAACTCCTGCCTGCCTGCCTTCTCCCCTCCCCCTCCCATCTAATATAATAGATTAAATTTATAACCAATTGTAGGAAAACAAACTGATACTTTTCTGAGTAAGATTTCATGCCCTGTGACTAAGACTAGGTGGCAGGAGTCATGGCCGATGAGTGACTAAGTAGCTTAGCTTGGTCCTGTTGCAGTTTGCTTTCTGTAGTGTTCTGAAATAAAAGGGTGGTTCCATCCCTTCTCAGGTACCTAGAAACTGGAATGTGTTTGTTGCAAGTGGAATATATTAGAGAAGAAGATGAAGAGGAGCACAAAGTCTGATTTTCCCTTTCAAGCTGTTTCATTGAACATATTAGTAATCGATCTGTCTAGGACTTGCTGTGTTCATAGTAAATAATGTGTTCATTTTATCTGGTTATGTCTGGAGTGTGTATATATACATATTTAATATGTACACATATATTCTCTGTGCATATATATGTATGATATATTCGTATATACATGCAGTCTACTCTTGATTATCAGCAAGACGGTAAGCCCTCACCTGGCTATTTCTTCATGTTGACTTAACCTGCATGTAGCCTCTAACTCTGTGAAGCCTCTTACTTATTTGGAGCCACAGTCTTTTCTTCTTTCAGTTCATCTCAGTCCCCAAGAAAGGCCCTGGAAATATGTCACTTTCCACTTCCCTTTCACCAGGGATTGTGTGAGCCAGAAAGACAGCTTTTGAGAGATGGCTGCTTCTACCAGAGTTGAGGCTTCTGAGTCGGAAGGATGGTGGGGCCCATTCCTGGCCAGAAGGCAGCCCCTGGAGCAGCTGTGCTCATGGGCTTGTTGGGGGGAAATCTAGCTTTTGCGGGAAATGGGGCTTCACAACTTGCCCTTAGCTGGAATGTTGCGAAGCCTTAGGTAATTTGATGGGTTGGAGTACAGCTGTGCATTTCTCCATTCGTTTGTGCCCTCTGTATTCCTGTACCCCTTGCTAATCCAGATAATCAAGACCTGACTGGTTTCTTGCCACTGGATTCTGGAAGCCTTGCCCTTTCAACTGGATTTATGTTTATTTCTGCTGCTGTGAAACCCAAAAGTAATGCAGTAGGTTTTAATTTAAAATTGTTTAATTCTATTATTGACAAATATTTATTGTAATAAATGTAAAGAGTAAATAATTTTAAAATCCTTTTAATTGTTCTCAGATTGTCTTCTTTGTTTTCCCTTGGTAGGTGCCAAAGGGGAGGAGAGCTGTGGGGAGAAAGATAATATCCAGGCACTTGTCTCAGAGAATCATTGATTATTTTAGAGCAAAACATTAAAAGGTTTGGTTTTGTTTTGATTCCTCCTGTTTGCTCCTGGGTGTTCCATACTCCTGGGACTTGACTTGTTTCAGAAAGTGGAGTACTAGGAAGGTGGCAGTAACAGGTATTCATAATCTACTGCTCTCGACTCCCCCAGAACTGAGTACTGCATAGTATGTATCGTCCTCATAATTACTGGGCCACGCATTAGCTTATAAGGTGGTGGTTTCATACTCAAAAACATCTTCCCATAGAAGGAGTTAATGTATTCATTTTCCAGGCTACTTCCACAAGAACTTAATGACCCACACACTTAGTATACCTCAACTTTAGTATATGAACAAACCATGAGCTCTTATAAAAGTTTGTTTTTTCTGACATTGCTTCTGAGGAGTATGTTTCCTATTTTTTAAATCAGAATTGATCTCCCAGTTCTGGAGGTGGGCATTTAGAATTTTTATCTGTAACAGGTTTAAAGAAGGTGGGGAAGGAAGTGTCCCATATTCTAACCCAGGCTAATTCTCTGGCTGTGTGCTTGTCATCCCCTGCCCTCCCAACTTCTTGGTTGCATAGCCGTTATCCCCTCCCCTTTGTCTGCAAACCTCAGTCACCTAGCAGGTGACTGACACTCAGCAGAGGCAACCAGCTTGGGTCTATCTAAACAAACAAAAATTACTGATGTAATTTTGACCACATGGGGCTATAGCCTAGACCTATTATCTCTCAAGGATAATTCTTTTAAGTAGAATTGCCTACTCAGTGCATTTATTTATTTATGCTTATTTCAACTATTAATAGCTATTGGCAAACTATCCTAAAGGGTGTCGATGAATGAGAGTGTCTTTTTTTTTTTCCAGATCTACAAAAAGCTTTGTTATTTATATAATTGAAGCTGTCTATGATAGCAGTGAAGACCTCCCAGCTGGTTGGGAGATAGCTGGAGAGAGCCAGGAAAGGAGACTGGCTTGGGGTATTGTTATGGCTAGGAGGTGGGGCCTAGATGAAGGTACCAGCGTACACAGTTGGAATCCCCCAAAAAGGATAGAGCACCCAGCCTTTTTTTTTTTTTCCTTTTTAAAAATCAGCTGCCCAGATGAGGAGCAGAGGGGAAGGAAGGCAATGCAGCTTAAAAGCTGCCAGCAATCAAACAGCAAAAAGGGACTCAGATTTCTTATCACAAAAGGTGTCTGGCTTTAAGGCCAAGCATCTTACTGATCACTCTTTATGGGTTTTTATGATACCTTTGCTCTCCCATCTCTCGCATAATAGCCGAATGCCACGGACTTTCTCATGGTGTCCCACTTCCAGCTGTAGACATGCACACACGCTTCTGCTTGTTTCTCTTCTCACAGATCATGGAAACATGGACCAGCACGTGGAAGAGTCTGTGGTCAGAACCATCCCTTGCCCTTCTGATTCCATGGCTCCTAGGGATGTTTAACGCTTGAAGTTACAACTGAAGGAGAGAGATTTGACAGAGGGCCCTGAAGCCCTAAAGCAAACACATTCCCACTCCCATCACCTCCCAAACTCCTCAGCCCCGGCTAGAAATGGGATGAGGATCCAGTAGCACTCCTTAATCTCCCTACCACTTGCACACTTGGAAACATTAACTGACAAAAGAAAATTCTATTTGCCTCTTGGTAGTTGTTATTCACGAAGGGCTTCTCTCCTTTGGCCTCACAATTGCCTGTGATTTGAGCAGGGAGGTAGTACCATCTAACACCCGAGAGAATGCTCAAGAAGTGACATACCCAACCAGGCTGGTCTAGAATTAGCACTTGTATTGTCTTACTCCACCAGTGCCCTTGCCTGAGTTTCCCCTAGGCCAGTGGGACAAGACACTGACAAATATTATCCAACTTGTTTTTGAAAGAGTTTTAATTCTCAACAAGAACAATATGTATTTTTTAAAGTTTTCCCCTTTTTGGGGGGAGGGGGTAGGTATTTGGGTTTATTTATTTATTTAAACGGCAGTACTGAGGACTGAACCCAGGACCTCGTACATGCTAAGCATTTCGCCCTACCACTGAGCTATACCCTCCCCCCACAACACTGTATTTTTGTTGGCAACGAGACACAAAAACTGTCCAGGAAATAGTGCCTTTCAATGGACAGTGCTTCCTCCAAAGGTAATTGTAAGTAAGAGCTCAAAAATGAATGGATGACGAATAGATGGATGCAATATACTTCAGGTGAAACTTTCTGAAGAGGCAATAGATCAGAGCGGACCTATTCTTCCATCCCCTCCATGAGGAAAGGACAACGCTTGTATCCTTAGTGCTAGCACAGTGCTTGGCATACAGTAGTAAATTCATTATATTTGATGAATATGATTTAGAGGAATATATATTTGATAAATGAATGCAGAATTAATCATCCGGGTCAGTAAGTGATGAATCACAACTTGGTCAGCACCTTAGATTTCCAGTCTCCGTTAATAACACCGGGCCTTCGTGGAGGTTTCAAGACAGTAGCCATCCTAATTGCAGCAGAGAGGAATAAAGCCCCAGACTGGGATACAAAGTTCTGAATGCCGGTAGGCGGGGCCTCAGGGACTGCGCGCGCAATCACGCGCTCCGGGTCAGGTGACTACTTTTCCCTGGCAACGGCCTGTGTTAGCAACCGGCAGTAGTCCCGGCGGTGGTCGTTGCAGAGCTGCCTGGGGGTGAGAGGCACCTACCATGAATCCGCGGGGATCCCTAGAGGTCCTGGAGGAGAAGGAGGATTCCGCCCCGATTCTCGGGCCCTCGATACATTCTGATAACCCTCAGGAGCGGATCCAGGCCCGGCGCCTCCGCATCGCGGCGCGCCTGGAAGCCCGGAGGCGGTGAGCCGAGTCTGGGCGGGTCCAGCCCAGTAGCGTCCTGGGTGCGGGTGACGCGATGCGGGGATAAGGGGGCGGGTACCCGTGGCCAGCGTGCCCTGAGTGTGAGCCGGCCTTGTTTCTTGATGAGATAGAAAACATTTATTCCAGAAGCTTCAAGCAAAGTATGGGATGTTAAAACACTGAACACACTAGTAAAGCCAAAGACGGAAATAATAATCCCTCCAGCGCTTTCACTGAGAGCTCGCTGCGCCGGGCACTGAGGGCAACATACCGAAGATGCAGGCGCTCCGTAACCTGCCCGCCGAGGTCTTTCCTCCTTGCTTCCCAGCCTGCCTTCCTTCCGCAAGTAGTTATGGAGTGAATCTCAGCTATCACTTACGCTGGTTTCAGTGGCTTACCTGGTTGTAAGACACAAACCCTTATTCCTCAAGGGTCTGTGACTGATAAGCATACCGTTTGCAGACTGGGGTACCGCACCTGTCCATTCACAGGCGCAATCGCCTGTCATAAGGAGGTACCAAGGAGCGCTTGCATGATCCCCTGAATTCCTAAGCACCCTCAAGTGACAGCACTTATACCTTGTCCTTCTGGTCAGGGTCGGCTGCCTTGCCAAGATGGTGTTTCTCTTCTTGTCTGCTGGCTGTTGACCACAAGGGCCCCAAAGTGGTGTGGCTGTGTTCCAACAAAACTTTACTTAAGGATATTGAAATTTGAATATCATATAATGTTCATGTGTCACAACATATCCTTCATATTTAAATTTTCTAAATTAATAAACTTTATATTTTTAGAGCAATTTCAGGCTCACAGAAAAATTGAGTGGAAGGAAAGTATAGAGATTTCCCCTGCCCCTACCACATGTATGACTTCCCCACTATCAACCTCCCCAACCAGAGAGTTACATTTGTTAGTTGATTAACCTGCATTGACATATTATCACCCAAAGTTTATATTACAATTCACTTTTGGTGTTCTATGGATCTTGATAAATACATAGTGACATGTATCCACCATTATGGTCTTGTACAGAATAATTTCACTGCCCTAAAATCCTCTGTGTTCTGCCTATTCATGCTGATCTTTTTTTCCTAACAATTTGAAAATGTAAAAATCATTCTTTTTTTTAACATTTTTTATTGAGTTATAGTCATTTTGCAATGTTGTGTCAAATTCCAGTGTAGAGCACAATTTTTCAGTTATACATGAACATACATATATTCATTGTCACGTTTTTTTTTTGCTGTGAGCTACCATAAGATCTTGTATTTATTTCCCTGTGCTATAGAGTACAATCTTGTTGAAAATGTAAAAATCATTCTTCACTTGTGATCTGTACAAAGACAGTGGGTCAGATTTGGCCCATAGGCCATAGTTTGCCGACCTTGATGTACTAGATCAATGTGACGTTCTGTGGAATATCCAGATGGTCCTGATCTATTCAGACAATATTTCGACAGAGATCAGGAGAGTTAACATGGCCCTGTGAGTGTGAGTGCGAGTGCTATGTGAATATATATTATCTGTTACATGTAAATGTGAATTTCCTGATCCTTTTTTCCTGATTAAGATAGAAACTAATGCATTTGATCCAGTCACTAGCCACATTCCAAGTACATAAGGCCACACTAATCTGCGCTACCAAAGACACCACACTTGCATGGCAGCCTGGTTGAATCTGCAGTACTCGACAATCATTTCCTTGGGTCCATCCAGTTTTTGCAGGGATCAGACCAGTGAATTAAGTGGAAATTTAATAGGCACCACCACTCCTTGAGATCCTTAAGAGTGGCACTAACCCCCAACATCCCCCCAAGTCTGCAATATTGTTTTTTATGTGCTCGGGTGCAGTTTCAGAGGTGTCCATTTGGCCTTATGCATGGTGATAGCTCTTATCCACAGACCAAGGACCTAATGTGAGAATTTCTTGAATTTCTAAGTATTTTAAGATCACTCTGGTTGCTCTTTGGGGAGTGGTTTGGAGAAGCCAGAAGTGAGAATAAGGAGGCCAGTTAGGAAGCAGTTGCATTCATCCAGGTGAGATATGAAGTTGATCTGGACTAGTTAATAACAGTGATTTGGAGAGAAAGCAGACGGATTCAAGATGTATTTTGGAATTGAAAGTGACTGGATTTACTGATTGATTGGCTATGCTGATGAGAGGTAGGGAAAAAGCAGGAAAAGTCTTCAACAGCTGGGTGGAGAGATGGTAGTGCCTTTTATTGAGATGGTAAAGACACTGATGGGGGTGGTGAGGCAGGAATTGGAAATCAAGAATTTGGTTTTGTCCATGTTAAACAAAGTTGGATTTTGTAAGACATTAAAAATGAGATATCCATTAGGCAGTTGGATATGGTCTTAAACTCAGAAGAGAATTCTGGATGAGAAATATCAGTGCAAAGAGTCAACAGCATTATGACTGTATTTTGAACCATAGGAATGAATGAAATTACAGTGGGAAAGAGGATAAAAGGGATGAGAAGAAAGCTCATGGCCAAGCCCTAAGAAAGCCCAGCATTTAGAAGTTGATGGAAGAGGAAATGTTGACCAAGGAGACTGAGAGAGAGACCAGTTGAGGCTGGTGGAAAAACCAATAAATGAGGTGCCGTGGTGTACCCAACAAATTTAACACCTGGAGTCGATAATTTCTAAAACATGGATAATAACAATAACCTGAAAAGAAAAGCAGAACATTTTCTTTTTTTTTTATAATTGAGTTATAGTCAATTTACCAGAACATTTTCTTTTACTGAACTTTGTTTATATAACCATGCCAGTAAAATTTTAAAAATCAAAATAAAATTTACAGTACAAAATGAGGAAAGTCACAGATGAACACTTTTCAAAAAAATAATGACTGAGCACTTTTAAATTACATATATATTGGGGAGGAGGGAAAAGGAAGGGAAAAAATGTGAATAAATGTTCCCCAAGGAGTGAATTTGCAAGGTTTAGAAGAGGAGTTATGTGTAGAATGACAGAATTGAAGAAACTCACATTCGGTTTCTTTGTGTTTCTAGTAGCTATTGTTGTTCATGTCAAATCCCTAAACTGCAGGGCTGTGTAGTGCCTGGGGGGTTGTGGACGTGCCGTGTGCCAAAGTGAGCTGAGACAGCTCGAACCATTTCAGACGTGCTCTCAAAACACGTGCATGTAGCTGAGTCTGTGTGCGTCGGAGATCAAGCCTATAGTGTGAGTTCTCTGAATTAGCTTCCTTGTTAAAGGATAAGAAATAGAAAGGTGCTGTGTTGAAGCTGATCTATGTATTATTAAAAATCAACAGTAACTGCAGCAATCGTTTGAAACTTAAATTAACGAAAGCTTTTTCAGAAAGGAGTGTTTTATGACTGATATTGTTTTGTTGCTGGCTCCTGGAGATTATGAATAGCAGACCGGCTTTTAGTCAGTTGTACTGTTCTAAAATCAGCCCTAGGCTCCTTGATTGCCTGTGGTGCCGACCGCCCTAACTGCGTCGGCTTTGGTATGTCATTGAGGTGTAGTTTTAGAGAGGAAGCTGTTAACAGAATCGTGTCATATAAAGATAAAGAATAAGATGGATGGCTAAAGCACGCAGAAGTCTCAATCTCTAGTGTCTCAACTGACGTTTTAAATTCCTGAGAGATGTCACTTCTGAGTTAAGAAAGCAAATGGAACAGATCCATTTATCTTGGCTTTCCATCAAAAATGACATTTAAAGGGATTAAGTAAAAAAGACGTAAAACCACGAAGTCAAGTGAAACAGGAGAACTTAATAGCAACAACATTTTGGAAGCTGGGAAGTATACGGGCAGATGGTAAATGACTTAGCAGATTCAAGAGTTTGTAAATATAAACTGACAGTGAAGAAAGCTGAGCATCCCCTTGATTTACTCGGCAGTAAATCTCCAAAAGACTAGGAAACTGGCAGCATCAGGTTTATCTGGAAGCAGGGGCGAAGAGGGAACTAAAATTAGGAGAATTGTTCGGAAAATTAATACATGCCTAGAACATTTCTCCCACTTTGCACAGCAGACCAGAGGTTTGCAGAATGTAAAATGGAGGACCTGTGGTTTGGGGGATGCTGGGCAAAGGTGAAGCAAGGACATGGTACTAAAAGCACAGGGATTCCATGGACACGTGCACATGGAACTGAGCGCCTCCTTCGCCTCCCTGTTCCTGGCGTGCTGGCAGTTCGACCTGCACATTGCAGGCAGGAGACTGGAGAAGTCTCGCTGCAGAATCTGACTAGCCCGGAGGGAGGGACTTAAAGACCCTGACATCCAGGTTTGCCCATGAAACAGTTGAAGTAGGTCAACCCACACTGAAGTTCACAGCTGTTACACAGCACCCTGACACTCAGAGCTTTCGTAAGCTTTTTCTTCTTATCAGGAAAAGGTAGCCAAGTATTTTCAGACATCTGAAGAAAGTCTTTAACATGAAAGGTAGACACTAAAATGAATAAACAGAAGAAAGCAGCTTAGAGGAAACAGACTATGCAGCAAGAAAAAAACAATAATAACACAACAAAAAGACTCTCATTAAGCATGCTTGAAACTTATATAATGTTGCATACCAATTTTACCTCAATTAAAAAAGAAAGAAAAAAAGATTATCATTAAGATCCTCAGAGAAAAAGAAATTATATTGCAACCATAAAACAAGACTGGGATGCTATTGGGGGTGGGTAGAGCTCAGTGGTAGAGCACATGCTTAGCATGCGCTTAGTGGTCCTGGGTTCATTCTCCAGTAACTCTATTTAAAAAAAAATGAATAGGATGCTATTACAATAAGTCAGAGATCAAAATAGAGCTCTTGGAAATTAAAAAATATGATTGAAATAGGAAACAACAGAAGGATTGGGTAGTAAAGGTGATGGAATTGCCTGGGAGAGAGAGAAAAAGAAAAGAGAAACTAGCAGAGAAAAAGATTTTTCAGAAATTAGAGACTAGTCCAAGAGATCACATATTTCCTTTCTAGATCGAGAAAGAAAGGACAGAGTAAAGAGAGGGGAGGAAGTGATCACTGAAAGAATTCAAGAGCATTTCTCAGAACTGAAAACTGTGAGTTTCCTGATGGAAAGGGACCACCTGACTGAAAATGTTCAGCACAGCAGATGAAAGTAGACCCACCTCCAGGCACACCCTTGAGAAAGTTCAGAACACTGAGAACAAAGAGAAGGGTCCGCCAGACTTCCAGAGTGCAGAACAACAACAGTGACAACTGTCACATACAAAGAAAGGATTAACAAACAGGATGACGTCTGGTTTCACAAACAGCAGCACTGGACCCTAGAAGATAAATGAGCAACGCCATCAAAATTAGGAAGAAAAATGATTTCCAACCTAGAGCTCTAAACCCGGTCAAAGACTCAGTGAGGTTCCAACTTTTTAAATCTTGAGGCAAGACTTTGACTGGTCAGGCAGAGCAATATCATCAAGAAGATGGCAGCTCCCACTGTGACCACGTGGGTGGCAGTGGTGGAGGGGCAGTTTCCTCAAAGAGGGATTCAGCTCAAAGCTGAGCAGAGAAAAGTCTGAGACGGCCACTTTGGGGAGTATGCTAGGTGGACTGAACAATAGAAATATAATATGTAAATTCATATCCGTGTTAAAGTAAACAAAACAAGGTGAAATTAAATTTTGTCATTTATTTTTTTAACTGACCCTATAAAAATATTATTTTAACATGTAATCAGTATAAATCATAGTGTGATATTTTGCAATTTTGGTGAAAGTTCTTCAAAATCCATCTAGTTCATATATTACACTCATAGCACATTTCAGTTTGGATCAGCCACATTTCAAATGCTCCATTGCCACATGTGGTTAGTGGCTACCATGTTGGACAGTGTGGTGTTAGGCAGTTAAAAATGAGAACTAAAAGGCAGCAATGGAATTCAAGTTGAAACTAGATAATATGAGTGTGTAGCATAGTTGTTTTTCCTTCTGAAGCATCGATCTTTGTTCCAGGAAGTAGGTGGACGGATTATTTAGATAGAGTTGGTAATTAATTGGTGGTCAATGTAGAAAGTCAGGTGAATGAGTGCATTTTGGGCGGTAACACCATCAGCCTGGCAACATCTAAAGCACTGAATAGAATAAAACAATTCATTTTCTTAGTAAGGACAATGAGTAGGTTCAATAAGAGTAGAGAAAGTGAATGAAATGACAAGAAAAAGAGTTTCAGTTAGATTGAGAGTTGTGTGGGGGGAAGGAGGCTAACTCAATTCCACATCTCAGAAATGATGTAGTACTGTGTCAAGCTGTGCTGACCTTTGAACAAAGGGAAAGGAGATGAAAGTCTTTGTTAGAAGTCAAGAAAGAATGAGATAAAGGGATCTGCTTGTTTCACTGTGGATAACGTCATAAGGTGATGGTTTCATTTTTCTTAAGGCAGAACAGAACGCCTTCATGGCCGCCATGTGCCAGAGGAGAAAGTGGACCTCCCTGATGTGAGCGCTGTGGCTGTTGGGGTCATTCCCCCAGGCCTCCGAAGAAGTCCAGAATCTCGAACCTTATCTCCATCCGTCCTCATCTTTGGTCTTATTTCCTGATTAACACATACACACATATGTACTACTTATAAAATTTATAAAATAGAAAAATGTAGAAAATATAAGTCTTCAGTAAAGTTCCCTTCTCCTAAATAATTACTGTCATCAGTTTGTCATAAATCCTTGTAAAAATTTCCCTATGTGTCTATAACCCTATTTCAAAAAGAAATTTATACTGTATTTTACATATTGTTCTACGGCTGGCTCTTTTTACTTACCTGTTGTGGACATCTTTCCATGCTGCTAGATACCATATCATTTTTTTTATAGGATACAAAATATTTTCTTGAGGGGGGTGAGCATAGCTCAGTGGTAGAGCACGTGCTTAGCATGCACAAGGTCCTGGGTTCAATCCCCAGTACCTCCATTAAAAATAAATAAATAAGTAAACCTAATTACCACCCCCCCTAAACAAACACACAAAATTAAAAAAAATATTTTCTTGTATTGTTGCCTTGCAAGTTATTTAAACAGGCAGTAATTAATATGTATGTAGAATGTGTCCATTTTCTTGCTAGTATGGTCAGCGCTGCAGTAATCATCCGTGTGCATAGTTCTTGGTGAGCTTGTGAAAGCTTTCTTTAGAAAATTCCTAAAGGTTGGGTCAGAAGGAGGCAGGTGTTGGTTTTTGATAAATCTTGCCAGATTGTCTTTTGGACAGGTTGTGACAATTCAGATCCCCACCCATGGAGTATGAATCACTGGGCCCCCACACCCTTGGTCCCCCACCCACCCCATACTATCAACCTTTTAAATCTTTTCTCCTCCAATAGGATAGTGACAATACCTCACAGGGTTTCTCAATTACATTTCTCTGGTTATATGTGAAGTTGAACATATTTTCAAAAGTCTTTTGGCCATTTGTCATTCTTCTGTAAATTGCTTGTTCACACCCTTGGCCAATTTTCCTGTTTGGTGTTTTGTCTTTTTTGTGTGTGTGTTGATTTGAAGGAGCCCATTCTATTTTATAGCAAAATTTCGTCAAATATCTTTTATCATTGTGTCCCTTGACTTTCAAGGATAAAATGTTTACATTTCAGAGAGTAAAATCTTCCATTTTTTTCTAACTTGGATCTTACTCTAGTAGGGGGTTCTCTCCTGCATTTAACTCTAGTGTTTTTACAACTGTGTGTGTGTGTGTGTGTGTGTGTGTGTGTGTGTGTTTAGTATTCCAATTTATATCCATATGGAGTATTTTTGTATATAGAGTGACTTATTATGGAATTTTAAAATATAGGGTCTAAGTACTAGTAGTAACTTCAGTTTCTCCACTTTTTTCCATCACAGGGAAGCGCTAGGAGAATATTTAGATGGGAAGAAGGAGAGTGAGGAAGATCAAAGCAAGAGCTACAAACAGAAAGAAGAAAGCAGACTGGTAGGAACCGGGTGGCAAATGGGTCCTGTTGGCCCTGTAGGACCGGAGTGCTGATGCACTCACTCACCCGCGCTGGGGCTGTGCACTTCCACTCCTGTGCCTTTGATGGTCAGGAATGCCCAGCCCCTAATCTCCCCTCTTCTCCCCTCCTCTCCCTTCCCCTCACACCCTACCCTCTCCTCAGGTTACCTTCCTAGACTTTAAGACCATCTCCACTCCCAGCTCCTCCGTGAATTCCTCCGGGTCCCAGGCTGAACTCATTGAATTCACACATCGAATACTTCTTGATCCTTTAGTTTTGGATAGTTTTCTGCCTTGTATCACTTTTCATGCAGTGTGCATGCTCGTGCAGTGTTCCCCGGGAACGTGAGGTTCTGTGAGAGTGAGAGCCTCTTTGTGCACTGTGGAGTAGGGCAGGGCTTGTACTCAGTGAACACTAAAGGTCTTTGATCACTGTTCCCGTGAAGAGACGAGTAATAAAGGACTTGGAGCAGAAGGTGCAGGAGAGATGAACAGTTGTTCAGAGCAGTGAGCCAGAAACTGGCAAAAGGCCACATTTAATTAATTGCAGTGAACTGCGTGGACAGTGATACTGTGCACGTTGAGATTTGGAAAAGAGCTCACCAAGTGGGCCTGGCTAGAGAAGGTTCTATGAAGCAAGTGGGATTTAAGCTGGGTCTTAGGGAAATAGGTGGGATTTATAAAAGTGGAGAGGTGAGAGATCACTTCTGGCAGAAATTGAAGTGTACTTTCTGGGAAAAAAAAATTCAAATCACTGAAATATTATTTTATTTATTTTTTAACATTTTTATTGTGTTATAATTTTACAATGTTGTGTCAAATTCTAGTGTAGAGCACAAATTTTCAGTTATACACGAGCATATATATATTCATTGTCACATTTTTTTCTCTGTGAGCTACCATTAGATCTTGTATATATTTCCCTGTGCTATACAGTATAATCTTGTTTATCTATTCTACATTTTGAAATCCCAGTCTGTCCCTTCCCACCCCCTGCCTCCTTGGCAACCACAAGTTTGTATTCTATGTCTGTGAGTCTGTTTCTGTTTTGTATTTACGTTTTGTTTTGTTTTTTTATATTCCACATATGAGCGATCTCATATGGTATTTTTCTTTCTCTTTCTGGCTTACTTCACTTACAATGACATTCTCCAGGAATATCCATGTTGCTGCAAATGGCGTTATGTTGTTGGTTTTTATGGCTGAATAGTATTCCATTGTATAAATATACCACATCTTCTTTATCCAGTCATCTGTTGATGGACATTTAGGCTGTTTCCATGTCTTGGCTATTGTAAATGGTGCTGCTGTGAACATTGGGGTGCAGGTGTCATTTTGAAGTAGGGTTCCTTCTGGATATATGCCCAGGAGCAGGATGACTGGGTCATATGGTAAGTCTACTCCTAGTCTTTTGAGGAATCTCCATACTGTTTTCCACAGAGGCTGCACCAAACTGCATTCCCACCAGCAGTGAAGGAAGGTTCCCTTTTCTCCACAGCCTCCCCAGCATTTGTCATTTGTGGATTTTTGAATGATGGCCATTCTGACTGGTGTGAGGTGATACTTCATTGTAGTTTTGATTTGCATGAAATATTATTTTAGAGCAATTATTTCTATATAGAAATAATTGAATAATCTGAACCATACCAAGTCCAAGGATAAAATATTTCGTTGTAGTGGAAAGAATCTGAACTGTTGTGGGTTATTGTTCCAGATCTGTTGCTTACTGTGAAGTAGTTGTCATAGCACCTCTTGGTACTCAGGATACTTCATCTAAAGGGTCAGTGATCTCTGAGTGTTTCCATGTAGGATAAAAAGGATATTGTA